ATTTGACGCAACCGAGAATCGCGTACAATGTTTGACAAATCGTACATCCTTTTATGCTTCTCTGTTTCAGACATTCGCTCAGCGTCTCTATAGTCATGGATGGTGGATTATGTCCATATTTGTCGCTCTTTCCACTTTTGGCGGTGTGAACGGAGCTATGCTTACCACTTCACGTATCTTTTTTGTCGCTGGAGAGGAGAGTCAAATGCCACGTATCATGGCTTTCCTTCATATCCACAAACTCACACCCCTTCCTGCTGTTGTCTTCACTGCATTCTTCTCTCTTCTGTATCTCTCAGTCACTGATTTGTACAAGCTGATGAATTACCTCGGCTTTGTTCAGTGGTTTGCCATTTCTCTCTCGGTTCTCATCGTCCTCATTTTCCGTGTGACTCGAAAAAATGCTATTCGCCCTGTTAGGGTATGTCTTTACCTCTTTCTTACAATTTAGTAGCCCAAAAATAGTATCAGATAAACAATTATCAATCTCTTTTTTGAAGGTACCTATCATTCTGCCCATTATTTATGTCGGTATGAGCGCTTTCTTGATAATTTTCTCCTTCGTTGGAGCTCCTATGGAATCCTGTAAGCTTTAATTGGCCATGATTTTTCATTACCCTCGTGGTTAAAAATAGTAAATTTTATTCTTTGTTTCGTAGTATACGGTTGTGCAATCATTGCCACTGGTATTCCAGTTTATCTACTGGGTATAACCTGGTCGCCGAAACCTAAGTGTTTCCAGAAGAAAGTTGGTGAGTTTTGCCTCAAATTATTAATTTAATAGTTTTGCTTTGGATATTAATGCATCTTACTTTACCCTTTAGATGCCATTACAACTGGAGCTCAAAAAGCTCTGCAGTTGGCACCTCAGAACTAGATCTAGTAAAGCAACTGAACTCTCAATGGTGCTCTTCAGGGCCTCATTCCGTTCTATATGTCTATGTTATTGGTGTTTTATTCTTTCCCCCGGTGTTAGAATACTAGTTCCAACTATGGCTCTCTTTCTTGAACGAGAATCGTTCATCTCCATGTCAGCATATTCAAAACTGTTTAATAATCTCCATTCTCCCACCCTTCTGCTTAATTTCCTCACCCTCTCCTGCAGAAATTTAATGAAAGAAAATTTCTTGATTGTGTATAGAAACGCCATGGGAGTTTAATTTGTATTTTAATTTGGTGGTGTTATATTGTGCTTGTGTATGCAGCTGCTTAATGATTTTGCTTAGGGGATTCTTACTTATTTAAGGGATCGGAAGCGTGCTTAGATAAACATTCAAGTGAAACCTTGGCAATGAAATGGCGAAAAACTGCTTATTAATGTTGGTTGCTAGAAAAGGGTGATGTTTTCTTGTCATTTCGTAAAATGTGAATTCCCCATTTTTCTTGTGAGATCACATCACAAAGAAATATAATTAGTTACTATTGGGCGAGTTATCTGATATACCTAAGTCGTGAAGGCTAGGTTCAAAGCGGACCTATATGATGAAGCTTGAACATTGGTAGCCTTACTGCGTTGGGAGTCTGTATCATTGTTGCCAATTTTTTGCCCTGTGGACGCAGTTCACTAATTCACATTCCAAAGTTCAAATGTTCACGGCTGGGCTCCATTTTTCTTAGAATCATGCTCGTGGTATTCGGTGTTTTTTGAAAGTATTTATTTATATCAAATGGCAGGCGTTTTGATAGTTATCATTAGCCCTGGAGCTGACCTCGGGGCTTCATGAAGAGGAGAAGGGACATCAAAGTGACAAAAAGTCGAGATGGGAGACAGAATAATGATTCACAGAGGTAAAAGAGACAGACAGACACAAAGGCATAAAATAGGTAAGATGAGTACTGTGGAAGGGGTCGAATATGATAAATATTCGGGCCATAGAAATTTGTAGCCAGAAGTCAACTGCCGATCCATAGACTTTTTTGCCATATAAGCATACGTTGCCCAGGGTGCACCACGTGGAGGTAAGTCTATCGCACACCCCGATATTGCTCAACTAGATGATAACTCAAATGTTCTGTGGGGGTAGTTCACGAGAATTTTATAAAGTTTAGGCATTCATTTAATTAATAAAAGGGATTGAGAATAATCCGATAACCATTACAGGAGGAATCAATGTATTATATTCGCTTCGTAAAGAAGTGATGTCATTATCCAACTGGTGGTGTTCGCATTAAGATGGACAACCTCAGAGCAGTGACCCATGGTGCCCATATCTTTTTGCAGCCTCCTATTTCGAGGCCATGACTCTGTGGTCGAGGCTTGTGATTTTCCATAAATTCTAATTGTTGACTGCCGTTTAACGCAGAATGAAATACGGAAGCACTGCGAACACGATTCGGAAAAATGGTGATCTGGTACCCAGTTCTCTTTACATATGGGCATATTACTTACCAAAGTATATCAGTTAGAGCAGAGCAGAGCGAGACTGCAAAGACCATGGTAAATAGGATTTCGATTTATTCGAAATATTTAAAGCCCAAATTTAAAGAGAGTGCAAAACCTCATATAGTTATAAAAGAGAATTGATAGTAAAATTCCTGGTTTATTTTGTGTTTATTAACAATTTAACGCTTTAATGAAAACACTTTTGATGGTTAGCAGTTATGTTGGCAGAAAATGACTAATGCTTAACTCTATGATTGACGGAGTTGTCACTACGTTTTTTTCTAGTTAAAGGTATGGAAACACAAAAGTGACTTGATTTCATCTAATATGCATTTGTTCATTTACCAGTTGAGATGATTGTTTCCAAATCGGTTAGCCATTTGTTGACCTGGGATCAAGTTATCTTACAAGCAATTTTTATACTTGAAAAATCCTTTTCTGTGTACTCCATCTTTAAATGCACCAGAAATTTTAATTAGAAGGATCTTTATTAGCGAATCTGCCAAGCCAGAGGTTATGGGCTCATTTACCGTCTGCCCAAACCAGGTCGAAGGAATGACCTACAAAAAATTGACTTCCAACTCCCAATAAGCGGGTCCTATGACGTCATCTCAGTGCAAGATGAAAATTGGAGATGCATTGCTAAGTATTCTCAGAAATTTTAGCTGAATATTCATGCATTTTGTTACATTTGAGTGCATTTGGAAATTGAGCAAACTCAAATGCTAATTTTAGAATCAGTGTTACATCACCAGACGAGATTGACAGATGCACTAGCAAAAAATGTTTACGTTGAGGTTCAAGGCACCCGTTTTCTCTGAATGACCTCTGATGCCTGGAAACTTTCTCAATCATTAGAACCGAAAGTGCCGAATTGGTAAGAACCACCGTCACAAACAACCGGTTAACAAGCACTGCATTTTCTGGAGAAATCGCTCAGTAAACAAATTGTGGACTTTTGAAGCGTGAACCCCCCTAGTAAGTAGATACTGCCCCACCCGAAATAAAAGAAATTAAGTCGAGTACGAAACAATTTGCTCTCTTAGCAAATGAGTTTTGTTCACCCATAAACACTATTGTATTTATCATTTTGGCTAATTACTGTTAAGGGGTCTTTACTATGATTTCATGTTTCTAGTAGGAATTGTTTTGGTACTTCCTTTTACTGCACGGGGACATATAATACAAAAATGAAGTAAGGCCTTCCAGTACTTCAATTCCACTCTCTCTCTCTCTCGATATCTTTTCAATTCCTTCCTTTTATCATTTATTTCACTTAGTATCGATAGATTTCAGTTACTTTCACGAAATAACAAACTTGTAAAATTCGCATGCATTAAATTGAGTTATCAGAGTAAAAAAACGTTTGCACCTACTAGAAACTTGAAATGAAATATTCAATTGGAAAATGGCGAAAATATAGTATAAAGTCGTAAAAAATCGAAAAGGAAATTAGGTGCGAAATTCGAACAAGGTGAAAATGCATTATAGCTCAATAGTCCAGAAGACAGTGATCTTACTTTGGAAATTAGAATAGGAGAACTGAAAAAGCAACT